AACAATTTCAAAAAGAGTTTGAAAATAACCTATTAACATTGTTCCCAATCCAACAGATCACCAAATCCTACTACAGTATTCTATTTCAAACATATTTTCTAAATCTTGCTAATTATCTACAACTTCTTTATCACTGTCTTCATTTAGATCCTAAAAATTAATGCTCTTGAACTGGATAAACAATTCCCTAACTCTTCTGTTTCTGGTCACAAACCTGTTTAATCCATCTTATATATGCAAAGTGATTTTCTAAAACATAAATCTGATTATGTCACTCATGTTTTTAGAATCCTTCCATCATTTCTGAATGTGGTCTCCTTGTTCCACTTACATCAGAATTACTTGGGACAATTAAAAATGTAGCCTTTAAGGACACTCCTTGAAAATGTCTCCAAATGTCTCATCTTGTATGATCCGGCATCCCCAGTCCACAGACTCTGACTGGGACTTAGTCAGAGCTCAATAAATATTTGCTGAATTAAGGAATTCTTGAATTGCACTCTAAAGCTAAACAATCAGAATCTGGAATAAAGAATCCTATGTTTTCTTAAGCTCCTTCCGTGATTTTTTTTTTATCCATACTAAACTCTTGGAAGCATCAATACAAAGGATAATGTCCAAATTACGTAGAATGAATTCATAAGGAAGGCCCTTCACAATCTGTACTCTAGCTACTTTTCCAAGTTCATCTTTTGCCACTTGTTACTTGCATAGCCATAGTGAAATAGAGTTTCATTCATAAAAAGCAATGTTGCTGAACCTCTTGAATGGCTCTTTTTCCTGCTGTGTCCTTTCCCCTTTGCTAGCTTTACAACTTAAGTAGAAATTCTTTCTTATGAAGCTTTGCCTGACATCTTCATGCTTTCGTCTCATCTACGCTCCCACAACACCTTGCTCTATTTTTGTACTATACTATCATACTGCTTTTGTTTACTTCCATTTCTGTACCATGAGTTCAGTCAGGAACTGTCTTATTCCTTTGATTTCCAGAACCTAGTACAGTGAGAATATGCACTTACTCTCATTCAAATGTTTGTTTAATGACAGAATCAATGAATGAATGAAAAATGTGAAGAGGCCAGAGATTACAGGATTTAAGTTATAAATCCAAGTCAACGTTCTGAGTCTTTTAGGAACCAGCAAGTTAATACATATGAATCTGGTTGCTCTCTGTTTTCCAACACTTTTTTCCAGTGCGATGGTTGTGGCATGGGCACCCCTGGTGTCAAGACCATTTCAGGGAATCTATAAAATCAAACCGTTTTTGTAATAATACTAAAATATTATTTACCTTTTTCATTCTTATTATCTTATAAGGATACAGTGGAGTAATTTAGAGGCTACATGATGTGTGATACTACAACTGATAGCATGTAGAAAGAAAATCCAGTTTTCTTCAATTACAACATTAAAGAGATTTGCAAAATGTAAAATAATATACTCATTAATTTTTTGAAAATTTTATTTATGTTAATATGTTATGTTTATTATTTTAAAATGAATCAATATTTAATTAATTTTTAATTTAATTAATTAATATTAATTTTTTTCATTTTAATTTAGAATATGATAACTATGAATAGATAATAAAATTCAGAAAGCTCTTTAGGGTCCTTAATTTTTCAGACTGTAAAGGAGACCTTAGATCAAAAAGTTTGGGAGCCACTGCTCTAGTCTTTTCACAAACTGGTCAAATTATGCTGGGCTAGTGGCTCATGCCTGTAAATTCCAGTGCTTTAGGAGGCTGAGGCAGGATGATTGCTTAAGACCAGGAGTTCAAGACTAGTCTGAGCAACATAATGAGACCCCTGTTTCTACAAAATAATTAAAAAATTAGCCAGATATGATGGTGCACACCTGTAGTCCTAGCTACTTGGGAGGCTAAGGTGGGAGGATCACCTGAGTGAGGAAAGTGTGAAGATGTCAGGCAAATCTTCCTAAGGAAGCATTTCTACTTGAATTACGTTGTAAAGCTAGCAAAGGAGAAATTGAGGATTCAGTGAGCTATGATCACACCATTGCCTTCTACTTGGGTAAGAGATCAAGATCCTGTCTGAAAACAAACACACACACACACACACACCAAACCCCCAAAACTGGTCAAATTATACAAACTGGTGTAAACCAGTTAGTCACCCATCCAAAATTCATGGAAACAGAAATTGTTACTTAAGAAGGCCTGCTACTCAAGGTTTTACTTACTTTTCCCCCCAACTATTGAATGGCCAAACTTCTCTAAGCATACCTGTTGATATAGTATCCAGCATGCAAGCCTGTCAAAATGTGTCTCTTCTTCCATGAAATTCTTCCTGATTTTTGACAGCTGCATGTGCTACTTGCCAGTGTGATCTGTACAGTATTTCCTCACCTCTCTTGTTTTTCTATATCTTAATTACATGTATGCTTGTTTTCCTTCCTATCAGACCATAAAGGCCATGAAGGCACAGTGAGATAATGTGGAAAGAAAATGTGCTTTGGGGTCTAACACACCTGGTTTTGAATTCCAGTTTCCCTTTCACTAATTCTGAGACCCGGCGCAAGTATTTGAAATGCTTAGGGCTCTTGTTGCCACATTTTTGAATGGGAATAATAATCATTGCTTTCTTGTCATCCTGCCTAATTAAAAGCTTAGCACAATGTCCAGCATAAAATGGGCACCCAATAAATAGTAGCTATTACTATTAAAAATCTGTAAATCTTGTATTTCCATTCATATTACCTTCAGCACTACAGGCACTTAACAAATATTGCTTAGGTTAATTAAAATCTAACATATTGCAGAGCTTTCTCCCTGAAGCAGAAAGAATATGAGACTCAAACAAATACCAACCAGGGTCATCTATTCTTCCTTTCTTTTCAGACTGACTCCTTTCAGTAGGATTATTTACGCTTTCTATCCGTCTGAGCTTCTTTTTTTGCATTCCTCTTATTCTTCAACTATAAAGCTCTTGTTAGATTTTTTTTTTAAAACTATAAGTATCTTTTAAGTATTCTCTTTTGCTTCCCCTGTGATTATTTCTAATTTACCACTAGGTTGTTCCATAAGCTGAAGGAGTATTCCTTCTGAGATTTCTAAAGCAATAGTTTTCCTTCCTTCAGTAGAGGCAAAAATATTTTATTTGTATTACTTCAATCACATATATATGTTTAGCTTTTTTTTTTTTTTTTTTTTTTTGAGACGGAGTTTCGCTCTTGTTGCCCAGA